TTGCATAGTTCACTTTCATCAATGATGGGCCCCTCTGTTGTATTATTTCATTTGTTTCCCTCGGATTCTGTGTCCTCCTCTTGGCTTCCCTCAGAAGTATACATGTATATACTGTATGTGAGGTCAAGAACATAGAGTTATCTAAAAATTATATGACAAATTAAGAAGTCCTTTATTTCTTGAGTCCTGTTTACTTTGTCATATCTCCTTGAATTTTGAAATTAATATCCACATATCAGGGAGACCATGTGCCCTTTGTCTCTCTGATCTTGGGTTACCTCGCTCAACATGATTTGTTCTAGTTCTATCCATTTCCCCGTGAATACAACTATTTTGTCCTTTCTAGTGGCTGCTGATTATTCCATTGTATATAGGTACCATGATTTTTTGATCTATTCATCTGTGGTGGGGCATCTGGCTTGTTTTTATATCTTGGCTATTGTGAACAGTGCATCAATGAACATGGAAGTGCATGTGTCCTTGTATCCTAGTTCTTGTTGGTCAGGGTAGATGATTAGGAGTAGTATGGCTGTGTCATAGGAAAGGTCTATATTTAGCTTTCTGAGGAACCTCCAGACTGCTTTTCACAGTCCACCAAGGTTTATATAGTATCTGAGGAAACCTAAGAAATACATAATGCTTGAGGCACAGCTGTGTAACTTAAGATGCAGTGAACTTTCTATTTTGTAGTGTATTAGTGGTTGAATATATCTCAAAATAAAGAACAATATTCTGTCAACAAAAACCATAGTTGGAAAAGAATCAGATAAACAAAAAGAATAGCAGGGTATCTCTTCACTCTGCCCTAAATCAAAGACTGAAGAGGCAAAAAACCTCAAGAATTAGCTCGTGCCTTTCCTTTTCAGATGTCAGGTGTTGAAAATAAGAAACTGAGATATACAGATTTATAACAACTGGACTTAGAATATGCACTCAGATTAAGCCAGGTATATAAACAAACTTTAAAATGTGTATTATTTAACTCATTTGCTTCTCACCATTGTTGTCCCATTTTTTTTCAAAATTATTATCAAGCTCAAGTTTAATACTCAGACTAAAAATGTAGAAATACAAACAAGTATCCCCGCATGCTGGAAGAAAGAAATAAGACCATTATAACAATGCATTAATGTTATGTGACAACTAAGTCTAAAAATAAAACCACATAAACAATGAAAGAAATGAAAGCATAATGTATGTCTCCATCTCTCTGATACTTATGGTAGAAGCATACAAAGAACAGAGGTGAAATACAACATTTTGAATAGCTTTTCAAAAAGGAAAATTAATACCCTAAAACTACAACTTGGTTTTATAAACAGATCTCAATGAAAATCTAGTCATATCACCAAAGGATTCACTGAATGCATGTTTGTATACACATGTATACATATATGTATACAAATGTATACATATATTTGTTCAAAATGAAACTTAAGCTAGCTTTCTATATAAGTAAGAAACATGTAGTATTTATAAAGTAATTTCATGATTGAGTACAAAATTATCTTACAAAGAAGCAAAAATAGCTTACATACGAATTTTAAGAAGATTTAGAATACTTAAAGCCACTCATTATTCTAATTGAACTAGATTGAGGTCATTTTAAAAGTCTAACTTTAGAAAAGTGGAGTAATTACAAAATCTGGGTCAGATAAAGCCGTAGTATAAATCAGAGAGCTCTAAGACCATCTATCTAAAATTGCTTTTGTGTTTTCCACAGTAGACTTTCAATGAATACAAAATAGAAAGAAAAAAATCTATACTGTATTCCTTCTCAAGATAGTTCCTCTTGGAAAATAATTCTACCTCTAGAGAGTTTTAGCTCAGGCATGATTCTCTCTAAAAGTAATTTATACCCCACAAAATCAATTGGGACTTGAAGTTTCCCAGCTTGTCATTTATGAACTGAATGAGCACACAAATTTACCCTATTTTTCTAGAGAAGTAGACCAGAAATAATAGTTAATATTGTACAACTGGTCCACATTTCACCCTATTTTAACTATATGGTAAAATTATAATTGCCACTATAAATAAATGCTTGTTATCTGAGAACTAGGTTTAAAAAGTAAAAATCATAATTTTAACCAAGTCTTTTCATACATTCATTGAGCAACTAAAGTAAACTAGGCATTCATGTTGGTGCTGAGCTAGTGAGCAATTTCCTTCCTAAGTATGCATAGGTTCTGATGAATACTCATTTTGTAGGGTAGAGGGTGTGATATAACCAAGGGAATTGTCCCTATTTTTCTCTATATTTTCCAGAATCTCCTTTTACCACCATAACACACAGTTTTCTCACTTTTAAGTCTCTGTCAGAAATGCTTGCTCAGTTATACTAACCCCATCTCTTCCAATTTCGTAACATCTGATGAGATGTACATACTTTCTCAGGTCAGAAACACACAATTACATTAGGTGATTCAATTATATAAGTGATATGTGAGTATTGATCAACATAAAAAAACGCATTCTCTGTGTCAGAGAATAGTTATTCTTAATCAATATCTATGTCCACAGCATCCCCACAAATTAAAGTTTAGACCACTAGAGGGGTAAATATGGAAAAACTGCACAGAAGTCATAATAAGAGGTCTTACATGGTAAAAAGCTTCCAGTCAAAGCATCTTCTCTACCCCTATAGTGAGCCGAGTGAACGTAGTCCTCAGTCAACATTCACAATGGTTAATAGCTCATTCTCTTTAATGACAATATTCCTCATAATTGATGTAATTCCCTTTTTGTTACTGCTTCAGTTCATTTTCTCTTCTTTTGTAGTCAATAGATGCTTGTTAAGCCATTGTACATACTTTCTCAAAGAACAAAGGATAGCATGTTCTTTATAATAATCCTTCTTGAAGATAAAGCTAAACCGAAGTCACAGGCTCAGCATTAGAAAGATGTTATTTATTTCTTGTATATCAAGTATGAAAACTAATTACTTCTGTGGGCTTAATTTCTTAACATTTTCCTATAATGGAAAAAATATGTAACCAAAATATCTATACATGTGGTGGAAGGTTGGTTATATTAACATGTAATTTGTTATAATTGATAAATATTGAAACCTCACAATGCTTTGGATTGATTGCCTTTATGTACCTTTTTCTCACATGAACTTTTTTTAAATCATAATAATCTGTAGAGTGTGATACTCATTAAGGGGGAAAAAACCAAAGTTTAGAGAGATTACATATGTAAGTAAAGCCAGAACTAGAATTTTCAACTCAGGGTATCCAATACAAGCTTGTACTCTAGTGAAATTAAAATATAAACATTCACTAATGAAAAGTGATACCAGGAAGTTCATTAGCTTGAGCTAACAAATTATATGTCTTGAATCAATTGGACTTATGTTTAAAAACAGTAACTACTCTATTGGCTTGGTTGACATTGTACCTAAGACATGAATGTATGTGGATTGGGGAAATTAGAAACTGAACAATATTGGTACAATGACAATTTCAAGTCCTTCTTTTAAAAATGAATAGTCAGCCAAGCACCAGTGGCTTACTCCTGTAATCCTAGCTACACAGGAGGCTGAGACCTGAGGATTGTGTTTCCAAGCCAGCACAAGCAGGAAAGTCCATGAGATTCTTATGTCTAATAAACTCCCCAAAACCTTGAACTGGAGCTGTGTGATAAAGCAACAACCTTGAACAAAAAAAGCTCAGAGACAGCACCCAAGCGCGGAGTTCAAGCCCTAGGACTGGCGCGTACACACAAACACACACTCGTGTGCACGTGTGCACTCACGTGCGCACATACATAGTATAATCAGTTGGATATAGATGGCTGATTTACCTTAAGTAAGCACTAGCAATATATTTTACATTGGTGTTTGTCCATTGTATTCATTTTTGTAGAGAGAGTTCATCTTTGTCCCATTATTGAATGCGATACAAATGAAGATGCATAGTATTGTAAGCCCTACATGAATTTACCTGAGGTGTTGTGCAGAATTATAAACTGTTCAGCCACATTCAGTAAAGTGTCTGAAAACATGAATATCCTGGAATATGAACATGATATTTACCTGGCATCTGCAAAAAGTAAAATGAAACATCAGGAATACAGATTAAACAGAATTGAAGTTTAAATAAAAGTGTCACATGTGTTAGCCCCATGTTATCTGAAACTATTCAAACAGGTATTAGTTCAGAGTGGGCAAGAGAGGGATTGTACATGTTTATTGTATTAGAGATATTTGGAAAAATGTTCAACATTTCAACAGCTGTATTTCCTAATTATTGTGCAAAATAAATATTCACAGTATATATACCGATGATAGAAGATAACCTACATTTTAAGGGACCTTCATATTTTAAATATATTTAATTTCAAATACTTTAGTAAGGGGATAACTGAATTACCTTATATTTACATTTAATTTTCAATGTATAGTAGCTAACTAATGAAATAAATTCAAGTGTTCACATACTAATTAAAATAAGCTCATGAAATATCTATGAATGCACACACACACATTTCATGTTTGGTGCCAGTACTAGGCATTGAACTCAGAGCCTCAGTTCTGTCTCTTAGCTTTTTGCTCAAGACTAGAACTCTACTACTTGAGCCACAGCTCCATTTCTGGCTTTGTGCTTGTTAACTGGCAATAAGATTGTCATAGACTTGCTGCCTAGGCTGGCTTCAAACTAAGATCCTTAGATTTCAGCCTTGTGAGTAGTTAGGACTATAAGCATGAGTCATGGGTGCTTGCCAACATACTTATTTTAATATCTAAATTAAATACAAACAGGTATTGATGGGAATGAATCCCCCATATTATTATGAGTCAAATTAAATTGAAATGGTTATTGTTCAATGGGTGGACAAACTGGATTCTATTTATTTGGGGGAAGCAACTTTACACAGTATAAAACTGGCTAGTATTTTGTACCTTTCTGTAAGTGGCTTACAAGTTACACAAGTTGGTCACAAGTTCCAGATATTGAAATGCTTTCTTGATTCACATTTCTATTCTCTGTCCACAGGTTGTATATAAAAATAATGATGTAAGACTGGAGTTATCTCGACTTGCCAAGCAAGGAGACCCTAAGATGAAGATCCATGGAGTGGTGGCATTTAAATGTGAAAATGTGGCCACATTAGACCCAATCACCTTTGAAACCCCAGAGTCCTTCATCTCTTTGCCTAAGTGGAATGCAAAGAAAACCGGCTCCATATCTTTTGATTTCCGTACAACAGAGCCCAATGGCCTCATCTTATTCAGCCATGGCAAGCCGAGACATCAAAAAGATGCCAAGCACCCACAGATGATAAAGGTTGACTTCTTCGCTATTGAGATGCTAGATGGACACCTCTACCTCCTCCTGGATATGGGGTCAGGTACAATCAAAATAAAAGCCTTGCAGAAGAAAGTGAATGATGGAGAATGGTATCACGTGGACTTCCAGAGAGATGGACGGTCAGGTAACTTAATATTTTTGTGTATGTGCTACTTATCTAGATGATTCCATCCAAACTACATTTCCTAAGAATTAAAACCAAGGCTTGTGAAAAGGTTTCTACATTTCTTTTCTAGAGCAAAGGAAATGATACATGTTTTTATTTGACATCATATGAAAATTGAAAGGAGTTAATTAATCACTATGGCTGAGAACCAAAACCCACATACTCAAATGATTTCAAGAATAGCAATTTATGTAGACATTTATTGGATAATCAAGTGCCAAATCTTGCAGAAAATTTTAGTCTCAACTTGTAAATGTCAAAATTCAGGGTTCCTGTGGTTGCAGCCTTCTGTTAGGTCATGTAAGGTCTGGGATGGGGCACCTAATCTGGTAAACATAAAATATGAAAACATTAAAATGATCCAAAGCAGTAAACCTTTAGTTTGGAACAGCATCAGGAGGGACACAAGGAGGTCTTTGGCACCACATTAGTCATAGTGTTGCGTTCAAAATTCCCAAAAGGTTTCTTTCAAAGACACTCAAAATTCCACCAATGGGCAATTACTGTTCTGGTTTCCTTTTTTTAATCTTTTTTTTATTGTGAAAATACCGTACAGAAGGGTTACAATTACATGGACAAGATAATGAGTACATTTCTTATCAAGCATTATAGCCTCCTCCTTTGTTCTGGTCTCCTTTTATTGAACTTTATTTCTCTCAGAAGGGAGGATGGAGAGAATGGTGTAAGGGTTGCAGAAAGGAAACTCCCATGCAGTTCAAGCAGGAGAGAGTTTGTTAGAAGGGAGCAGGAGAAAATAAACTGCAAGAGATGGAGGCACACAGTGCCAGGGAGCCAGTGGCTGGTGGAGAGAGATTACACAAGGGAGAGTGGAGGAGGGGTGTGGCTATTGCAGATGGGGAGGGAGGTGTCCTCAGAGGATGGGGAAATGACCTCAGAGCCTGGAGACCCTCCCATTACCCCCAGGCATGGCCAGTTGCCTGGGTTCCAGGTGCTGGGCAGGGACTTCTAGAGTACTGGGGTAGAGAATAAGGAAGGGGCCATTTCTCCTCGGTGGACCTAACAGGTGGCAAGAAAAATTTCCCTGAAGAAGTAACATTTACACTGAAATCTGGACGTTGCTTAGGGGGATTAGAGTTTGACTATTATAAACTTTGGAGAGAAAGAATCATCCAGGCAGAAAAATGACATTTGTGAGAATGTTGAGAGAAAAGACGGAGAAGGGAGAAAAGGAAGAGAGAGTAGGGTGAGAAAGAGAGAGACAGCCAGGCAGACAGAGATAGAAACAGAGACAGAGAAATTGAATCGGTTATGTAGAAAGCTATATATTTTTTTATTTTCTTTATTCCATATTCCATCTTCATTTATAAATGATATTTATAAGAAGATACTCTCTCCTCTCCATTTCCTTACACTCTCCTTTGTTCTATTACATTACCCTATTCTGAAGTTTTCAGAAATAGCAATGTACGTTTGGCCAAGATATTTTATATGGGCCTGAGTTTTTTATGTATGAAACAGTGGGAAAAGACCAAGCCCAAACCAAGCCCAGTGAAGGCGAATCAAGTCTTCGCACTGTGGATCCAATATTCTTACAGAATTCTCCGCTTGATTCTGATTCACCACATTGCTGGAACTATAGGCCAGACAGCAAATCCAATTATCTATGATTACTCTCCTGTCTCAGAAGGCCATGCTGAAGACCAGGGCTGAGCACTCCCTTCCACTCCCGCTGCTTCTGCTTCTGCTCCTTGCCACTAAGAACTGCTGGTCTCTGCAGTGTGGCTGCTTTCCATTTCCTCATGAACCTTTTACTCATGCATCTGCCCTTGGTACTGATCAAGAAAGTTGGATTTGCCTTTCAAGAGGTATCTTTTCATGTAAGAAAATACAAGGGAAGTGTGGGGACTGATAATGACACATAGAAGGTACGTCAGAAGTCTTCTCTGTAAACCCAAGATATTTCTGCAAATGCTATTTCTGATGCCTGTTGTCTGGAAATCTGATGTCCTACAACTGCTTTTCATAAAGGAGTTGAATTTTTCTTTGTGTTTCTGATTGAAGCTGAGAAGACACTGATGGGAATGTAGGAGGGATGATAGTATCTCCCTCCAACACTCATTCAGCCTCTCTGACAAAGCTGGTTGTTAATTTACTACTTAGAAACTCACAAAGGCAAGAATTTAGAAGTGAGTACACAGGCACTGCTGGTTCATGCCTGTATTCCTAGCTACTCAGGAGTCAGGAGGCTGAGATTTGAGGATTACAGTTCAAAGACAGGCTAGGCAGGAAAATTAGTGAAATGCCTATCTCCAATTAATCATAAATACATTAATTAATTAAATACACTGGAAGTAAAGTTGTGGCTCAAGGGCCTTAAGTAAAAAAATTAAGAGATAGCACCCAAGCCCTGAGTTCAAGCCCTAGTAGTGCCACCAGAAAGGAGAGAGGGAAAGAGAGAGAGAGAATGAGAGAGAGAGAATTGTCTATAGAGTAATCTATTGCTTTGAACTAGTAGTTTGAAATGTTATCATTGAATTTGGGATAGCTCTAGAATAGAATTTAGATAATTATTTTTAAGAAGAGAATATTTCACATCCTAATTTTCTAACAGTTTAAAATTTTTAAAAATTACTTGGACATCTTTTAGAGATTCATAAAAGCAAAATTACCAAGCTTAAGAGCAGTTACATTTATGATGTGTTGTCTAATGATATGAAAATAATACATATGATTATCAAATTGATAATAAATAAAAAATAGGAAAAAATAATAAAATGATACCTCTTTATGTAATAAAAATATTTGATGTTTTTAGATATTCCATTCCTGTCTTTTTGCTATATGAATTATAGGAAGGTTTTGTATCTATGTATATAGATCTCTATGTGGATATGTGTTTGTATATATGCATATATTCACACATACACATTATCATACATATATACACAAATACATAGAGAAAACAATTAGAATTTTTCCATGAAATCCTTTATTAGGAGAAAATGTTCATTGTCCCATTAATTATAAACTAAATATATTAATTCTCGTGAACTCTGGGGAAAAGAGAGGCTCTTTAATTCCTATTCTTGTATAATATTGCTTGGTTATAGCTATTTCCACTTGCAAGTTAGCTTTCTTTTACAACATGCTCCATTGAGGAATAATAACAGGGAAGATCAAGTGGGGCTGAGCCAACATAATTGACAATTTCACATCCTGCTCTAAATTGGCTAAAATGAACCAAAGGACAAGCATGAGTTTGTGGAACAGAGTGGATAACTTCAGTGCTTACAAGAATTAGATCTCCCATGCTTATAGCTTAGGTACAAAGAGCAAAACCCCCAGTTGTTACGTTCATGCCCAGAATGGGAGAGGTCCATCCTCTGTCAGTTTGGAAGGTCTTCCACAATACCACATTGCTAGTTTCCCACTCTGATGTTACCAATCCCAACCCTAAAGATCTTCCCAAGTATTTTGTGAAAGGACAAATTGTGCGACAATTAAGATGAGGTTAATGACTCTTTTCTTGGCACAGGAATATAGTTTAAATTTGTGTTAAGCTCTTTGGTTCAGTCAAGGTTATCCTTTCAAGTGCTTTTATAGTAACATGCCAGTCATATTTTTTCTTCCTTTTGCAAACTATGATTACACATTGAAATCTGAGAGAAAACTCATTATTCTTGTCAAGTCCTGCTTGTGGCCAGCAGAGTATGTCAGATTGTGTCAGCGGTTATTCATGGGAAAGCCTGCATTTAACATCTAAGAAGCCATTGAGATTTGAATTGAAGTCATAGAGTTCCAGTTTAAGAACTAAAAATTATAGTGGGGAAGGCAGCAGGCTCTCTCCAGAGCACATAATTAGAGGTTTGTAGTAATCACTCCTGGATATGAACAGCATTTTCTAGCTATCTATTACCAGCCCTGATTTTTGTGTGTATTGCTGGTGAATCGCCACACTTAGACATTTCTACTTGAAGAACTACACGACCATTCCTTCTGCTCAGGTTTTTACTTGCCCTATGACTGCAAAGGTTCTTCCCATGACTCTGCCCACTAGACAGTTGCATGCATTGAAATCATTTTAAGTCCAATTTATAAATACATTTTTGTGGGTCTATGCCATAGTATACTGAAATACCTTGTCAATAATCTATTATTTGACCAATGATCATAGATAGAGGTCAAAGTTTCATTACAATTTTTTTGTCGGTTGTGGGACTTGAACTCTTGGGCTGGGTACTGTCTCTAAACTCTTCAGCTCAAGGCTAGCGCTCTGCCACTTGAGCAACAGTGCCACTTCCCATTTTCTTGTGGTTTATTGGCAATAGGAGTCTCAAGGACTTTCCTGCCTGGGTTGCTTTGAACCACAATTCTTAGTAGCAAGGATTACAGATGTGAGCCACCGGCGCCTGGCTTCATTACATTTTTACATTAAATTTTATTAAATCAGTGTCTATATTTCTTTATTCCTGTTGTGTTAAATGAGAAAAGTCATTGATTTTCTTCACTCAGGAAATTTATTTTGGTATATTTATTTTGAGTTGTAGGTTTATATTTTTGTAGTAAAAATTTTTGTAGTAAAAATTCAGGATACTTGTTTAATTTGGTGTTAAATAAACCTTTTTTAAATCCAAGTATATCTAAGTAACATTTGTTTCCTGAGAGCTATGACTTTGGAAGGTAAGATTCACAGCAGAGGCATCAAGGTCCATAGGCTTGAGAGACTCAAGTGAATTAACATTTGTAAAGAAAAGAAAGTTTCTGAGGCATCCCTTGGCAAAAGCCAGCTACTGCTGCAGATACTTGACTGCTTCTTTCTCTCTACCGGGAAGATGACAGGATATCCTCCCTGAAAGGCTAATGTGACTATTTATATCCCTCAGGAACTTATTCAGATGTGTTATCCTCAAACATACTTAAGATTTTGCTCCCATTGTAAATCTTATTGTAGTGGACAAAAAATTAGACTATCTGTTTACCTATGTGTTGATTGAATC